CCGCTGTAGTTTGGCTCCAGCGACGGTTCCAGGTAGCGTTGCGGGCCCCGGGGGGGAGGGGCTGCGCCCTGCCGGGTCCCCCGCCCGCATGCACCCGGAGCCCGGACTCGGCGTGGACTCCGGGGCGCCCCCACCCCGCCCTGTCCCCAGGGCCGGGCCCGAGGGACGGCTTGTAGTTTGGCTCCAGCGACGGTTCCAGGTAGCGTTGCGGGCCCCGGGGGGAGGGGCTGCGCCCTGCCGGGTCCCCCGCCCGCATGCACCCGGAGCCCGGACTCGGCGTGGACTCCGGGGCGCCCCCAACCCGCCCTGTCCCCAGGGCCGGGCCCGAGTGCCGGCAGAGCCCGTGCAAGTCCCATCAGGTCGACTCACACTTCACACACTCACACACACACACACCCCGCCCCTCCTCGCTCGCTCTCTCTCACACACACTTTCTGCTCACACCCCGCCCCCTTCGCGCCCCAGACCCGGGCGGAGCCCCCCGCAACCTTTAAAAAAAAAAAAAAAGCAAGCTTATACTTAAAAAAATCTTTTGGCGCCATATTAATGACGTACTTAAAATTTGCCATTTCTCCCTGCGTCAAAAAGACGTTTCTTTGCAAATAACAGCCCGGAGGCGACACTCGCGGAGGAAGAGGAGGCTTGCACCGGCCACCCCGCCCCCCTCCCCGCCGGAATCCAGCGCTGGAAGACCCTCGCCCTGTTTCGGAATCACTGCTTTTAAAATCCGAATAGAATAAATAGCGTGGCTTTTTTTTTTTTTTTTTTTTTTTGCAGCGCCAGAAGTGAGCAGAAAGTGCTGGCAGGAGTGCCGGGGAGGGGCGCGCACGGGTCTGGGGGAGGGGGCGCGGCTCTGCTCCCCCACCCACACCTAATGGAAACTAACGTGCCGGGCTAGGGGAAACTTGAAATTGTGGGCTAGCTCAACGAAAAAAGGGACTATCCGTAGTGGGGTCCCTCCCGGGGCTGGTGACCCCTCCCCCCACGGGTGCCTCCAGGCGCCGGGGGCTGCTCTGCATTTCCGGAGGGGGGGGCTGGTGAGGCTTGGGTGGCTGTAAGCCCTAGGCTCCGTAGGAGTTTGCCCCCGGGCAGCCCCTTCCTCCAGGCTGGTCCTACTTAGTCTCCCCACCCCTAAAGGGTTAAAAACCGAGGGGCAACTTCTCAGGGCTGGTACCAGGCAGAGAAGCGGGGCGCCCCTCTCCCCACCCTTCGCCTCCGCGCCCCTCCTCCTCCGACTCCACTTCCCGACTTGACCTTGTGGTGCACAAACAGTGCTCTCCAATCCTCGCAGTTTCTGGAAGAAGAGCCTGCGCTCGCCAGGCGGGCGGGCTGTCGGGCGGCTAGCGGCGGTGGCGGGGCCTTGGGTCTGTTCCCTGAGCTGCGGGCCACACCCACCCTGCCCGCTGCGCCCGCGGAGCTCACCTTCTCTCTAGGAAGGAAAAGGGCAGGCCTCCTGGATGTAGGCGTGGGGGGGCCACTTTATGCCTCCTGGGAATGCCCCCAGCTGGGGAGGTTGACTGGCCTTGGGCTGAGGTTTGGGGGAGACTCCAGAGCCTGGTCCAGCACTTCAAGGCATGTCACCCTGGCCAACGTTTTTTGCCCCCTCCCTCTTGGCTGCCCCTTCGTGATGATCCAATGATTGTTTTGTTTTGTTTTCCCAACTCATCTTTGGTTTTGAAGGCAGGTGGGTAAGTTCTGAATCCCTTTCCCTCTCCAAGACAGGTTGTTTATTTTTCCTTTCCCCTCCACCCGGCTCCCATGGAAGGATAAATACTCAATTTACATAAGATGACATTTATGTGACAATTAAGAAGATTCCCCGATGGAATGTTGTGAACACATTTGCTTATAGGAGAAATAAATCTAATAATAAACAAACTCATAATAACAGCTCAACTCCTCCGACAGGGTGGATTGTCTACATAACAGGGCTGTGATGAAATAAGTACTTTTTGCAACAAGAAAGAAATATGAACTCCAAGGGCGCCACCAGCAGAATCTCTTCTTCGGTCACCATTCACAAAATGTGAGGAGGCTTCTCCAGCACCTTAACACCGCACAGTCAGACCTGCCTCTCAGTGGTCAGTTAGTTGAGAAGACTCCCAGGCCAAAGTCAATGGCCTGCTAACAGGTGTCCCAGGCTGGGAGAGCCTGAGAGCCGTTAAATGTCTGGCTTCTGATCCTGGCTTTACCTTTCAGAAGCTGTGAGAAACGGACCAGTCTGTTTTCCACCTTTGTGAGCTGAAGATTTCTGAGACCACATGTGCACAGATGCGTGTATATAAATACGTAAATTTACATCCTGTGTGTGTCAAGCAGGACCTGGCTAAGAATGCACTGAACACCTGAGTACTTTGCTAATGTTTCATTTTTTTTTGCTTTCCTTGTTGCTGAACCCAGGGCCTTCCTCGTGCTAGGCAAGAACGACAGGACCCTGATTTCTGTCTTCCTCTCTGTGATTATGTATTACAAGAGTATCGGTAGAAAGAGGCTCTGAATAGAAAACTGAGAAATGGGCCACATGGTCAAGGTCCAGGCGTCAGTCTCAGCCATGTGTCTGGGATGTGGGTAGAGGCACGGTTTACAGAGGCAGAGTCTAAAGGGAACCTCTGTTGCCAGGGGTTTCCATGCAGGAGAGGACAGAACAGGCTGTTTCTCCTACCCATCAGGAGCCCAGATTCTGGGATGGGAAAATGTTTTCCCAAGCAGCTGTAAAATGACCTCCAGAGGTGGAAGACGGGATGGGCGGGTCATGAGCATCTGCTTTGAGCTGTGCCCTTTGCAAACTATTCCATTTCATGCTCACAAAAGCCCATCTCACCTGTTCAGAGAGGTTTAGTAACTCACCAGGAATCACACAGCTAGAAGTGATGGTGAACAGCAGTCTGAAACTCCAGTTCCAGGGGATCAGGCGCCCTCTTCCGCCCTCTTCTGGCCTCCACGGGTATTGCACAGCCTGGGTGCACTTACAGACATGCAGGCAATACTCATTCAAATAAAATAAAAATAAAATATAAAACTCCTCAATTGTGATTAAAAGTCTCACAAATCATTAACTTTCTGGAGAAAAAAAATGAGAAGAAACAGCTCATGGGGAAACAACCAGTCATCAGTGTGTTGTAGTTCTAATAAGTATTTGTTGAAGGTCTCCTGTACACCAGTCACCAGTCTAGGTGCG